CAATCATGTAGGCAGCCGCCATGTCAACTTTAATCGAGACTCTTCATTTCCGAGATGTCAATGTTGGGATTGCATGACGTCACCAGATTTGGAAGCGAACGTAATTTAATTTCATGTAGCAGAAAAAGAAAATGGATGACCTGAATTGACGACAGCAAACAATCAGCTTTTCATTTAATAAGGACGTAAAAAGATTGTAATTCGTACATTTGATTCACATTCTCATCTATATATAAGTAAACCCAAGTATACATGATGAAAAAAGCCTCTGACTTGATAAAAGCAAAGTTTTATAGTCAAAGTGTTTATATTATTATTAAGAGGAAAGACCAAACGATTTTTTAAATTATTTCATTAATTTGAAAAAAATCTTTTCTAGCTTTCAAAATTATGCTTAAATATCCTGTTTTTCTTGCGTCAGCGTCTGAATCAGTATTTGAAATTTTAGCGTTTTTTTTTTTGTCGTTAAAAACTCATTGTTTTGACATTCTTGCAAAACTCAAATAATTATCGGATTTTAATGAAATTTTCAGAACTTATTCACAGATGATTGAAATATTACTTTTAAGAAAAGCCCGACTGCACCTTAATTCAGTTCGTTATTGTCGATTACTACCAGTCAGTATCAAAAGACCTCTTCACGACTGCCCTGGAGTTTGCTACAGCATATTCTGACTTAACTAAGGAAGAAAAAAACATAATTCTCAGTGCAAAGAAATCTGTCCTCATCCATAATGGGGACCAGTGGATTAAAAACACTAATGACAACTTTGACATCACCATGGGATCTCTAGACTCTGCAGAATCTTCGGACCTTGTCGATCTATTTATACTGTACAATCTAACCGCCCACCGTGAACTAGACATTGGGGACATCGGGCTATACAGAGATGACGGGCTCATGATAATGAGGACCTCCACAAATTTTAAAACAGAGAAAATTAGAAAAATAATTTATAATGAATTCGGAAAACTAAATTTAAAAACAATAGTCAACACTAAATTAAAAAGAGTAAACTTCCTAGACGTAACCCTAGACTTAACGAACAACGTTAGCCTTAAAATAGATACTCTACCCAACCTTAGCAAAACCTCTCAGAAGATGATGAATCTATAGATAAGAATTAACACTCTGACCTCTTAACGAAGAAAACTAGCATAGCCACCCCCACAAAGACGAATGTTATGACGGACCATACCTAAAAACACGCGTAAACCAAAAGATAGCTTATTCCTAAAATTTCAATTGAAGATGAAACGAGACTAAACACCTCAATTCAACTTAATTTTAATAATTATTGGGATGATTTCGGCTCTCGTTTTTGAAACATGAGAACTCTTATGTAGCGAAGTAATCATATTTTTAAACAAAAAAATATTATTATATATATATATATATATATATATATATATATATATTATCTGTTAACCCCACTTTCTTAATTTTATGAAAATTCGAGAAAGTAAAATTTCAGTCTCTTCATATATATATTAGTTAAATGCAGAGCTCCTAGTAGAATTTAAATCATCAAATTGTTTTTGTCAAACAGAAACACCCTTTACTGAAAATCTGCTCTGAATCGTAAAATAAAAAATGCATTAGAACTAAAATATTATTTAATTAAGAAAACTTTTAAATGATTTTATAAATAAGATATATTAAAGGCATTGTTTCAAGAAAAACATTTTTCAATGAATAATGAATTTTTGCAAGAACTTTTTCATATTTTTTAAATCTTAATTAGAAATTTTTTAATTGCTTATAGACTTAATCAACGATTGTGTCTCGTTACATTTTAAAATTATTATGGACTTTACTGTACTTTAAAAGCATGTGTGTACGTGTAGATATATATATATATATATATATATTTGTATGTGGGTATGCATGTATATGTATATATATGTGTATTTTTTTTTCTGTAGGTAGGCTTTTCTGTGTTTCTGTCTGTAGTGAAGAATATATGTACACTGTACACATATATCTGTAGATATTTTTATTTTATTTTCTTTCACCTACTCTACAGTAGTGCGTATGTAGATATATATAAAATATATATTTTTATATATATTTGTGTTTAGAATTTTCATTTTTATATATTAGATGGTGTTATTTTTATACGTATATATATGTTTTAATGTCCTTTCTTTCCCAATTGTTTGTTTCTCTGTTCTATTAGACCATTTTTATCTATGTATATTGGCCCGTATAATTTATATTTTAATATGTGGTTAGAATTCGTTTAATAACACTTTCAATCTTAAATATTTCTTGGTTGTTGTAACAGAATGTCTATGTCAATGTATGTGGATGTATGTACGTATCTTTTTCGGTATCTGTGTGTATAGTAACTTGGAGGCTCCTTTCATTGCGTATGTATGTTTTTTTTTGTTGTTTTTTTTTTTTTGTAAAGTGTCGTGGAGATATTTTTTGTCTTTTCACTTTTTGTGTGTGTATATATCTAAATACGTCTGCGTGCGTATGTATTATAATCTGATTGTGTATGTATTGTATTTTGCAAGATGTCATCCCCACTACTTCTATTTAGAATTCAAATGTATCTATGCTGTCATGAAACCCTAAAAAACAGTTGATATTAACGTTTATTCCAACTTAACTTCAATAAAAACATAATGAATACAATAACATGTATTTTTCTTTTCAGCTCAGTAATTTTATAATTTTAAACTTAATAGAGATTAATTTTTGAAATGGGTAATTTTTTTATTTTAAATTTTATCGTATAATTTTATACTTATTAGTTAGAATAAATTTTATTTTAGTCTAACCCCAGCATTAAGGCATTAAATAGTTATTATAACCTTAGTTCGTTATCAAGTTTTTTTTAATTCTCGTATACTTGTATTTTGATTGGTCATTCCAGCTTATGTAACAGCGTTTCAGAGAGGTGGTTAGGTGGTTAATTAATTTGAACCTTTTAAAACCCTTTATTCTACATTCAACATCATCACTCAATAAGACACCAGAGGTGTTGAAACAAAATGGCTATTTTTCTGGTGATTTTTATAACATATTTATGCTATAATTTTCGAATAAATAATTTTTATATATATATATATATATATATATATATATATATATATATATATATATATATATATATATATACTGAACAATAGAAAATATTAAAAATTAAAATCTTCAGACACACTGGGTTGTATATTAATATTCTTTCGTTTATATTATTATTTTATTTAGATTCCTCGACTTGTTTCCGCCAACATGGCCATCATCAGCAGAATTTTTTTTCTGCTTCCTGGTTGCAGTCATCTACAGAAATGAATGTCTTCCTGGAGAAAATTAACTTATGTCTGTAGTTTTAATTTTTTTTTTTTTTTTTTTTAACATAAGTTTTGGTCAGACCTTTTGTTGTTATTTGAGATAAGAGCTGAATGGATACATGCTGCTCTGAATATATATATATATATATATATATATATATATATATATATATATATATTCATATATATATATATATATATATATGTGTGTGTGTGTCTGTGTGTGTGTGTGTGTGTAAACACGTGTGCCAGTGTGTGTGTGTGTGTGAGAGATAGAGAGATAGAGTATTACATGTAATACAACCATTAGTATATACACCAAGTGGATCCTAGTAATATCAAATATTAAAACTGATCTAAAAAGTGCTCAGTGTATTTATTATAATAGAGCATATAAATTACACAACGAAATCAAAAATTACCTCACATTGGGTGGGGTATACATCTATATTAATCGATGAAAACTAGGTCAGTCTTGTTCAACCCCGGAGTATAGACTCTGTTATTATGGGAATTAGAAATTTAATTTTGATGGTTATCTATACATCGGGGTTGAATAAGATTGATGTAGTTTTCGTCGGTTGAAATAGATATATACCACCCATATAAGGTTATTTGGGATATATATATATATATATATATATATATATATATATATATATATATATATATATATATATATCGTTCATGAAGTGCTAGGTACTAGTGTTAATAAACCAATGTTCGATGTAGTATAATATAGCGATTATGTATATCTTAATAAATACACATATTATAATTAGGGATATATGTACACACACAGACACGCACACACAATTTTATACACACACACACACACATATATATATATATATGTGTAGTAATAAATCGTTATTTAAGAATATATTGTTAAATTTAACAGACAATGGAGTTCTATTGTTCTTAATCATGAGTCATTCTAAACTTTGTATGGTTTCTTTGATTTCGGGTGAAAATAAATCCAAATTGTCCAACATTAAGCTTAGATTAAAGAACAGATTAATAAAAAGGTACAAATTTTGGACAATTTTTGTCTTTATTTTCATCCGAAATTAAAAAAAAAAACATACGAAGTTTAGAACGGATCATGATTAAACATAATAGACATGTATTATCTATTATATTCAACAATATGTGTTTAAGCATATATATATATATATATATATATATATATATATATATATATATATATATATATATATATATATATAAACATATATTGTTAAATATATATATATAAGCAAAATTTCTCCTGTCATAGATCTCTCAAGGATTTTCATATCTGCCTAGTTTAGTATCCAAATACAAATAAAGAAAACCTATATATATATATATATATATATATATATATATATATATATATATATATATATATATATATATATATATATATATATATATATGTATATATATGTATAGTTTTAAGGTGTGCTATATTTATGGGATAAAGTGCTCAATATCAGAGATAGAGCGTATGTAAATATAAATATGGAAGTGAACATTGAAGTCAAGATTCAGAGGTAAAGAGAATTTTTAGAATGGTTTTTTATTAAGCGGACAGATTTGTATCACTTTAAACATTGAAAGCATAAAATTGTTTCTTCGTGGCCAAGCGGTAAGGCGAACCGGGCGAAACTGTAGCTCCCTCCTCCTTGACGGACGCATGTTCGATCCTTGTCGAACACTAGTTCTCGTGCGAGCACCGAAATTAAGCAACGTCGAGCCTGGTTACTACCGATATGGGTGACCGCTTGTGAATACCAGGTGCAGCAAGCTTGGATGTGCATGTGGTGTAATGCTTAATGGACCGGAATTGGATATCGAAGAGACGAGTTCTAAGTACAATACGAGTTGTTGCATTCACTTAACATGCCAATGCTCTTGGGAAAGGTATGAATCCACCTCTTCTCCCTACAACTATGGTTTAATTAGTAGTACATCATTATTACATCCGATAGGTTGTTACAATCTAAAAATATTTTCTGGCTTTAAATAAAATGCAAAAGGTTGATAAACCGTAAAAAATCAATATAAGCTGAATAGAAGAGTTATTATGTAGCAAAGACTTTATTAAGTTTTAGAGACACAGTCACAAGGAAAGTACAATTTTATTGTACCTCAAAAAATAATTATGATAATTTGAAACGTGATTGTAAGAACGAAAATAAAATTATTTAAATAAATAATAGAAATTGATAGAAAGATAGAAAAGTCAGAAAATAGTTAGCATCGATAGGCTCTCGAAAGGTTCACAAACGAAAATCATTTTGAGATAACGCAATATTCCATTTATCGAGAAAATAAATAATCTTTTTTTTTTACAGACAGACAAGCGCGGATTTAGACGCAAGCTGTCAATAAAAGTTGCATCTATTCGGAAACTGAATATTTTTATATAACAGATTTTCCCTGTATAAAGGTTCAAATTAATGTGCGTTTCCGTTAAATCTGAGGTTAATGAGTAATCATTCGGTGGGAGGTTTCAAACAACATCGCAGAATTAATCATCAGTCATCTTTGTGGGTCCTCTACAGGAGAAAGTGTTTTCCCCACATCCGCACCTGACAGCCGTGACAGTATTGTATAATATATTCGGATTGTTTACGATCATATAGCATATTAATGAGTAGAATTTGAACATCTGATCTTTTGAAAAGGAATAGAAGTTTATCCCTTGTTTCCTGTTTAGGACTGAGTTTCCGATTCCCCCTAAAGTCTACATCAACTCTATACTTCTAATGTCTTCGCGTAAACTTTGAAATTTTATTTATTATTTAATTTTATTAGTTTTTATTTCATTTTCTCAATAGGAGTAGATAGCTGCCTATATCTCTGAGATGGGGTATTATAATTACTTACATTATTTACATTATTCGGACTGTTATCCTCATCTTCATTGCCATTTTCCCAACGTTTCGGCCGGTGTACGCTCCGGCCTTTATGTCATATTTCTCTGTCTATTCCTCTGTCTATATCTCTGAGATGAAGTATTATGATTACTTGCATTATTTACATTATTCTGACTGATATCCTCATCTTCATTGCCATTTTCCCAATGTTTCGGCCGTTGAACGCTCCGGCATTTATGTCATATTCTCTGTCTATACATCTGTCTATATCTCTGAGATGAAGTATTATGATTACTTAGATTATTTATATTATTAGGACTCTTATCCGAATTTTCATTGCCATTTTCACAACGTTTCGGCAGTTGTATGCTCCGGCCTTTACAGGTGATTGGAATTCGAACCAAACCCTTTGTCTATTCCTCTGTCGGGTTATACTGAGATGAAGTTATTGCCACGCCTTTCCATTATTTACATTATTGCCTTTAACTCATCTCTCCAAGATTTTTGGTTCTTCATTGCTGTAGCCTGGTATTTCATAACACTTTGGGTCCGTCCTGGATCTCAACCAACTCCTTTATTCCTCTGTCATATCTCTGAGAATAAAGTGTTTTATGATTACTTGTAATTATTTAAATTATCTGTTAACATGAGATATCCTCATTTTAATTTTGGCATATTGACAACATTTTCCATCGTTGTACACTCCACACACATTTATGTCATATTTATATGTATATTCCTATGTATATATATATATGAGATGAATAATATTATGATTACGATAGAAAAATTTACATTATTCAGACAGTAACACATCATTGTCATTGCCATTTTCCCAATGATTTTCGGCCGTTGAATTATCCGGCATTTATTTGTATATTATAATATCTGTCTATAAATTAATTTGTCTATATATAATATAAGATGAAATAATAATAGATTAATAAAAATTATTTATATTGAATAAAGAAATAAAATTATAAAAATAATTTATATTGCCATTTTAACAACGTTATTAGGCAAGATTTTTAAAATAATAAGTTATAATTCGTGTCAGGTGATTGAGTTGGTAGAACAACAAACCCTTTATTTCGTCCACCGGGTTATACTGTATATATATATATATATATATATATGTATTCCATATATATATTTATTGCCTTTCTATATATATCCAAGATTTTTGGTTCATATATATATATATATATATATATATATATAACTTAAAACATTTTTATTTATAGTTTAACGTTGGAGATAACCAACGTATTTTTAGCCACTGTTTCATGATAACCTGAGGAACAATAAACATTTTCAGTTATTTTGTGTAATTTTTAGAAAATATATCGTTCATGAGATGTCAATGTTATACGGAAATTTTGGCATCATTGAAACGGCCAATTTATCCATCGTACCCAAAAAAACACACTGTTATACACACACACACATATATATGTGTGCTATATATATATATATATATATATATATATATATTAATAATTATACATATACATATAGCGATAGAAGACGGTTTGCAAATTATGTTTAGAATTGTTCTACCAACACATCAGACATTAATTATTACTTATGAATTTTTTTTAAAAAATAATAAATTATATGATAATTATATTTGTATATTATAATATACTGTATTAAATAAATTAATTTAATAAAAATAATATAATATAATGTATAAATAATAATAATAGATTAAAAAAAATAATGTAATATATTGAATAAATGAAATAAAATTCATAAAAATAATATACTATATTAATATATTATAACATACTATATTAGTATGGAAGATTTTTAAAATAATAAGTTATAATTGTGTCTGATGAGTTGGTAGAACAACGAAACGTAATTCCGTATAGGATTAAATAACGTAGGTATATATATATATATATATATATATATATATATGTATGTATGTATATATATATATATATAAAACAGAGCATTTCTGTCTATATATATATATACAATTTCTTCATAAATAAAAATATATATATATATATATATATATATATATATATATATATATATAAGCTATTGCAAGTCCTCGGTTTCCATACTGTTCAATGGCGACCGTGACCATGTTATGTTTTGCCAGCAAATACCTTATCTCTACATTGTATCACTGGACCTAGAATTTTTTCCATTTGCGTTTTTTATTCACTGGACATCAATCAACGTACCCGAAATTGTCCCGAGAATTATCTCTTTTGCGTTTCTCAGTTTATTTACAAGTTATTTATGCAAATGGCCGTATTTATCACATATATATCACAGCTAATATTAGGCATTCATTGTATACTTTAAGTTTTAAGATGCATCAAATATCTGTTCTAGTTTCGGCTTATATTGTACCGTTTTCTTATCTTACTAGAAACCTTTCAAACCTTTGAAATTAAATTTTCCCTCTTCATTACCTTTAGGCCAACTCGATCCTTAACCGATGGCGCATATTTACGTGAACAACTCGATATTCCCTGATCTAAGCTTGGTGTATTTAAAAGTGTAAATGGGGTTGACTAAGAAGACAATGTTGAGCAATCCTTTCGAATAACGAGGGAACTTGTCAGCATGCTATGAAAAATTCATCATGCACGTTATTAATCTAGGCTTGAACATCGCCCACTCGCAACGCTAGAAAAACTGCAACTCTAACAAACACACGGCAGACCATTGAATAAAAAAGAGAAATAAAATAAAATAGCATAAAACTAAGCCACGTTTGTTCTTCACTCTTTGGGGGTTCCCGCCAATTTCATCTGAGTCGAAATGCATGCGACCTGACGGAAGTTGAGGAAAATCGCTTTATATTCATAGAACCTGGCAGCGGTGCCAATTTAATTAACAGCATGTCTGCTCGGACCCCAACCGTAATTACTACTACTGTTACAAATACGGCAAATATGCGTAGAGACCCCGTCTGTACCTGCTGCTTTTGGAGTATAGAAATGGATGTCTGTTGGCAGTTTCGTTCTTGAAACTTTGAAGCAGGAAGCGAAAAAGTTCTCATTCCTCTCGTTGCACATCTGCAGAACTTATGCGAATGAATCGCGACATGCGTGCAGTAAAAACATTCAAAGGTTCATGTTTTAAAGAACGCCTGCTGTAACGTCTGCTGTTAGTAAGTCTCCTTGGAGGATTTTATTTTTCACTGGATATGTTGAAAAGAAGAGCAGGGCGTAATAGCAAACGTGTTTGTGTGGACGGATGACATAGCAGAGACAAAGAGGGATGTTAATTACCAATCATTGCTTAGAGCTAGTACTGAAAGGAAGTTGTGGAGAGTCATGATCGTTCTTATCCTGAAGGGACACTACACATATAAACGAATATAAATGTGTATATTCTCCCATAATTAATTAGATTCCCAATCCTGAGTGAATGATAAAAAGGTTCTGGTCTTCTATATACCTCAACAGTTTGGAAGACCAGAACCTATCAGTTTATTTCCCCACTGACCTAGCCCAGGTTATTCAATGGTGGAAGCTGCATTTGCTAAAATTTGATTGCTTGCCCATAAGTGAGGTTCAACCAATTTTTTTTTTTTTTGGTTGCCTTCCAACACAAGGGCTATCATCATTATAGAGATGTGGTATTCTTCAGGTGATTGGAATGTCGAACGTTTCAGTTCGACATTCCAATCACCTGAAGAAGACTTTATTTCGCTCACAGCGGTAGACTGTTCTAGTTCCACATGGTGTTAGTTAGATCCAGTGACAGGACCCAAAGAGTGTGAGTTCAATATCTGAGTAACACGGTGAAGAACTTGGAGTGGGGAATTAACAGGTGATAACATGGCACGTGGAACTAGAACAGTCTACTCCAGTGAGCGAAATAAAGGGTTCTGTTCGACATTTCAACCACCTGAAGAAGGCCGGACCGTACAACGGCCGTAACGTTGTGATAA